GCTTGTCCCTGGTTGGCAAAAATGGGCCTCTGCTGTTTATGTGATATTTGGTGGCAGCTCAGTGATAACCGGAGGGGACTCGCAATAGGGAAACCTTGAGATCTCCACTGGTGGGTGCTTTCATTGAGCCCCCCACCCCACCCAAGGATTGGTGGACATGGTGGAGGTTGGAGGATCCAAGCAAGTCCTTACTTGCTCCCATCTTTCAACTCTCCATGGGTCTCCTCGGGAGCTGCCGTTGATTAGTGCTGCTTTGGGGAAAATGCACTTATTTCTTTTGGGAGGGAGAGAATCCCCCATGGTTCACTGCCCCCCCCCCCAAGATCTTTGGCTTTGGAAGGAGATCAGGAATCTGAATTTGCAAGGTTGCAGGCACTTTTTTGGTCTTTTCTTTTAGCAAAAATGAGCGTGCCGTTTCAGCTTCCTTTACCCAGCTGGCAGAGTTATCCCGAAAGAACTTGCATTTGGCTGTAGAATTTGGGCAGAAGGTTGGGTTTGAAGGCAATGGTTGCATTGCAAAAGGGGCCCCTTTGGAAGCCCCCCCCATCCTCGCCCCCCACCTGGGGGGGGTGCAGAATGGTGCAATGGGTTTAAGAGGCTTGGCCTCCCCACAAGGCTGAATTGGGACCTTGGAAGGGCTATTAGTTCTGCCTGCGGTTTCTTTGCACCTCACCCAAATGGTTAAATTAAATGGGGTTGGCTGGCTTTTAAAACTCCGCAAGATAAATATCCCACCCACCCTCTCCAACTCCCAAAGGAGCTTCTATCCAGCCAGCAAGGTTTGGTTCGGTTTGGTTCTTTGTATTTGATTTCCAGAGGGGAGGGGGTTGTCTCCATCCAGGCACCGCTAAGAGCCATTGAAAATGGGGGTTGGGGTCTCGCTTGGCTGTGGGTGGGTGGGTGGGTAGGGGGCTGCCTCCTGCATCCCAGCGGTTTCAGGGGGCGGGGCAAAAAACCCAGCAGGGATCGGCCCGAGTAAGTCCGTGCACAGCAAAACATTCTCCCTTCGGTTCTCTAGTCCAGTCCACCCCCTCCCCGGTTTCATTTCCAAGGAAGGAAGAGCCGAGAAGGCAGCCTGCTTCCCCCACACCCCTGACCCTCCATCCCTGTGGAGGGGGTCAGGGGACCTTGGGCTTGCAAACCTAGAAGGGACCCCCACATCCTGCCTCGGCTGCAGCATCTGGACCCGATATTTGTGGGCTGGTGCTGATGAGCCAGGGATTCCAGGCAGGAAGGTCCTGTCCAAGGAGTGAGGAAGGTGATGGGCAGGAGAGATTGGAAGCCCCAGAGGAGGCCTGAGAGGTCAGGCTTGAGCCACGCTAAACGCCCCCCCCCCCAATCGCCACCGGTGATCAGAAATTCTGCAGAGGCCAGACGGTGAGGTCAAAAAGCCGCCGTCTTCCTTCTGCTCTTCCAATCCGCTGGAGGATGGACGGAAGGGGGGGGAGGGAGGAGAGAGCACGGAAGGAGGTATCCTTCGAAAGGGCTGGCTGGCTGGGGGGGTGTGTCACAGCAGGAATACTTCACAGCCCCCCCCTCCCCAAAGCTCTTGGCGACCTGCTCTGTAAGTAAGTTTGAGTTGCTACTTTGCTCTTTTGCGCTGCCATTTTGGAGGGTGTGTGTGTGTGGGGGGGTGTCTGCTTCTCCTTTGGGTGTAGGCAGCCTGGGTTCGAATCCTCCTGGCTGTGTGTGTGTGTGTGTGTAGATGTGTGTGTGTGGCACGATCTCGGCTGGGAGCAGGAGGGCTCCTGCGAAGGCCACGCTGGTGGGGTTTTGACCCGTTTGGGGAGTCAGGGGGGCAGTCTTGGCAGCCTCAAGAGAGTTGCAGACATTTGGGTCAGCTCCGCCTGCACTTGCCCGGTACGTGTTCGAGGGCACCCCGTTGCTTTATCCCCCCAGCCCCCACTCTGGTAAAAATCTTGTGACCACGAGATGATCCGGGAAATCCCTTCACCGGGAGAAAGTCGTGGCCCGTGGAAACGTGGGTTGGTGCTGTTTGGAAGGTGATCGGGCTGCTTCGAAAGCAGCTCAACCCAACGCCATCTCTACACCCCTTCAGCCGAGGATCGGGAAAAATTGGCATTTTATTTTATTTTTTTGCCAGACTGGTATTAAAAAGGCGGAAGTTTCGGGGTGAAAGCATCTGTCTTGGAATAGACTTTGGGGAAGGTGCAACCAGATTCTTTTGGGTTTGGGGTACCCTGGACCGAGGTGGCTCTCCTACAATCGTGCCAACTGCGGTTAAGTTGAAACCTCTTCCTTGTGGCCAACCTTCATAAAGGCAAGTCTGCATACAGCCCCCCCACTTCAATTCCCCTTTGCCCTTTTCCTTCCAAAGCGGGCTGAGACCCTCTTATCATTCCTAATTTTGCCCCTGCCCTCGCCTGCCCTCGCTTTCCCCCTCCCCAAAGCCAACCTTTGCAAACTTTCAGGACTCTGCGAAGGCCTTCACCCCCCCCACACACACCCCCGCCCGCTTTCGCCCTGCCTGAGCTGGCAAAGGTGTCTAAGCCCAGCTCCCGAGGCTGCCCATTGGTATGCGCCAGGCGGCGTGTCTATTGATGATCTCCATTTTATATGCGCAAGAGGCGTGGGTTTTGTATTGGTATGGGAGACGGGGTGCGAGTGCAGTTGTGCGTGCCACCGGATCGGTATGCGTGGGCGCTCGCCCGTTGGATGCGTGGGGACGGTGGGGGGGGTGGGGGCGAGGGACGGACACGGAGGGAGAGGACGGGCGGCCGGCGGCGGGCTCGTCGCCTGGCAAAAAGGGGCTTCTGCTCCCGGCTGGCAAGACGTGCCAGGGCTGAAGACAGGTGCGTGTGCTGCGAAAGCGTGTCGCCCTCCCTGGCCAAACAAGGCTCCGTGTCAGGATGTTGAACAGTTTTGCTCCTCCGGCCCGGGTCTCGTCCTGGGAATGTCCTTCTCTTCTCGGAGTTGAGAAGTAAGTGACAGGCGCTGCCTGCCTCGATTTATGGGCGATTGGAGTGGTGAAGAAAGAAACAGAAAAGGCCCCCACGAGGAGGCGGCCGCTGCCGCTCGGTCGGTCGCTCGGTCGGTCGCTCCGTGGCGGTTCTGCGGCGACCTCTGGCCCTGAAGTCTGGGGTCAGCCCCCCTCCTGGTGCTAATGGGGGGAGGGCTGGGGGGGCAGACCTCCTTAGCTAGAGAGGCTGCCCGCTCTTGCCTTACCCCTCGCTGGGGAAGGGGTCAAGCATCCGGTAACCCTTAAATAGGCAAGGGGACCCCCCCCACATCTGTGTCATCCTTCTTTTTCCGGAAAGGAACCAGCTCCTCGGACGGAAGGCTGCAAATCCAGCGGTTGGTGGCCTCAAACACGTCGGTTCTGGATCTCTTGATCTCACATTGGGGGCAAGTTGACAACTTCAGAAGAAAACTTGGTTGTTAGGGTTGGGATTGGGATTAGGGTTGGGGTTAGGGTTAAGACCTTGGAGGTCATCTAGTCCAACCCCCCCGCCCAAGCAGGAGACCCTACCCCATTTCTGACAGTCTCTTCTTGAAAGCCTCCAGGGATGAAGCTTCTACAACTTCTGTTCCACGGGTTGATGGTTCTCCCTGTCGGGAAATTCCTCCTTATTTCCAGGTTGGATCTCTCCTTGTTCAGTTTCCATCCATTATTCCTTGTCTGGCCTTCAAAGATGTTTTGGGGAATAGCTTGACCCCCTTCCTCCTCCTCTCTGGGGCAGCCCCTCAAGTATTGGAAGATGCTCTCCTGTCTCCCCTGGTCCTTCTCTTCACTAGACTAGCCAGGCCCAGTTCCTGCAACCATTCATCATAGGTTTCATCCTCCAGTCACTCTCTCTCGTTCTCTCTCCCTCTCTTTCTCTCCCTCTTTCTTTCTTTCTCTCCTTCCTCTTTCTCTCCCTCTTTTTTCTTTCTCTCCTTCCTTCCTTTCTCTTTCCTTTCCTTTCTCTCCCTCTCCCTTCAAATATCGGAAGGCTGCTCTCGTGCCTTCTCTTCCCTAAACTAGCCAGGCCCAGTTCCTGCAACCGTTCCTCGTATCTTTTAGCCTTCAGTCCCCTCATCATCCTGATTGCTCTTCTCTGAACCTTTTCTAGCATAGCTGTCTAGTCAGATATCTCAACCAGAACAGAACAACAGTTGAAAGGGACCTTGTAGGTCATCTAGTCCAACCCCCCGCCCAAGCGGGAGACCCTACACCATTTCTGACCAGCAGCAGTCCAGTCTCTTCTTGAAAGCCTCCAGGGATGAAGCTCCCACAACTTCTGAAGGCAACTTCTGTTCCACGGGTGGATTGTCCTCACTGTCAGAAAATTTCTCCTTATTTCCAGGTTGAATCTCTCCTGGATCCGTTTCCATCCATTGTTCCTTCTCTGGCCTTCGGGTACCTTGGAGAATAGCTTGACACACACCCCTCCCCAAGCATAAGGAACAGGAATTTTTCTTTATGGGGGGAGGTTTTTCTCCCCTTTGATCAAGAGCTCAGAACCCCTCCAGGCTAGCTGGGGAATTCTGGGACTTGAAGTCTACCCTTCTCCCAGGTCTGTTCAAAGTTACAGCAGCACCGCAAAAAAAAAAAAAAAAAAGTGAGTTTTGACAGGTTTTTCAAAGTTACGACCTTTGTAATATCCGCCCCGCCAACAAGCCCACAATCAAAATTCAGATGGGCCACTGACTCGTATTTACGACGCTTGATCCCCTTTGGCATCCTTCTGTCGAGCCAAATCAATGTGGGGAGGCCAGATTCACTGAACGACCGGGCGACTTAACTCGCGAACAGCCATGATGTCCTGAACCAAGCAGGCAAGGAGAGTCATAAACCGGAGCAGAGCGTCTCGCTTAGCAACGGAAATGTCAGGCTTGGTTGTGGTCGTATGTTGAGGACTCCCTGGATTAAGGAAAAGAGGTGTGACAGGGATTTTCTCAACTGCCCCCCCAATGTCTTTCAGGAGGCTGCGTCCGTGAAGGGCACCGGTGACCGGAGGACGTCCTGAGTGGCCGGAGGACCTTCTGTGCTAGGCGCAATGGCCTCTCTCTATGGCAGCGAGCTCAAGTGTGTCAGCGTGGAGTGGGATTTCCTGCAGGGCCTGTTGGTCAAGAACCAGCCGGTGCCCTGGTAAGTTGGCATTCAGTGGGCGTTGCGCTGGCGCGGGGGGGGGCACTCTGATGACCGAGAGCTTGTGTTTGGTCCCCTTAGACCAAGGGGTCCTCAAACGGGGCCACTTTAAGATGTGTGGACTTCAACTCCCAGAATCCTCCAGCCGGCAGAGCTTACTCTCTTGCGATCCCTTCCTCTGCAATCTCTCTCCACTTTAGGAGATTGAGAGAGAGAAAAAAGCAGGCCTGGCTGGCTGGGGAATTCTGGGAGTTGAAGTCCACAACTCTTAAACGTGGCCAAGTTTGGGGACCTCCGGTGTAGGGTCTCTTGCTTGAGGAAGGGGCTAGACTAGAAGACCTCCAAGGTCCCTTCTAACCCCATGGTTCTATGTTCTTATGGTCTATGTCCAACTCCTTCCTCAAGCAGGAGACCCGACACCAGAGGCCTCCAAACTTGGCCCCTTTAAGACGTGTGGACTTCAACTCCCAGAATCCCCCAGCACCAGCAGAGCTTCCTCTCTTGCAATCCCTTCCTCTGCAATCTCTCCTCTTTGGGGGAGAGGAGAACAAGAGACAGACACGGCTGGCTGGCTGGGGAATTCTGGGAGTTGAAGTCCACAAGTCTTAAAGTGGCCAAGTTTGGAGGCCTCTGCCTTAGACCCTGGCATGCTCCCTCAGCCCTCCTCGAAGGGCTGTTTGGAAGGCCGGAGGGGTGTTGCTGGGACCCCCCCCCTTCCTTGCGGGCATGGAGACCCCTCGGGGGGGGGGGAATGATGGGGTGGGGGATGGGCAGCTTTGTCAAAGTAATCCATTTGGTTGGCTGTTCGGTAGAAAAAAATGACGGATTTATGACGCCTGGGTTTAAATTCCCAGGACTGGTACATGTCTGGATAGTCTTCGACTACAGCTCCCATTATCCCTGACCATGCTGGCTGGGGTGCGTGGGAGTTGGAGGACCATTGGCCCACTCTCCCTGAGGTCATTTTCCTTCATGCCTGCCTCCCTCTTTTCCTTCCTTTCTTCCTTTTTTCTCTTCCTTCCTTCCTTCCTCCCTTTTCCTCCCTTTTCTCTTTCTCCTTCCTTCTTTCTTTTCCTCCCGTCTCTATTTCTGCTTCTTCCCTCCTATCCTCCCTTCCTCTTCTTTTCCTCCTTTCCCTCCCTCCCCCTTCCTTCTTTCTTTCTCCCTTTTCTCTTTCTACTCCCTCCCTCCTTCCTTCCCTTTTTCTCTTCCTCCCTTTTCTCTTTCTCCTTCCTCCCCCATCCTCCTTTCTCCTTCCTTCTTTCTTTTCCTCCCGTCTCTATTTCTGCTCCTTCCCTCCTATCCTCCCTCCCTCTTCTTTCCTCCTTTCCCTCCCTCCCTCTCCCTTCCTTCGTTCTTTCTCCCTTTTCTCTTTCTCCTCCCTCCCTCCTTCCCCCCTCTGCCTTTTCTCCTTCCTTCTGTCTCTTCCTCCCTTCCCCATTTCTCCTCCTTCCCTTCCTCCTTTCCTTCCCTCAGCCTGCAGGCTCTACGGAAGGAAAAGTCGCGCAACGCCGCTCGTTCCCGCCGAGGGAAGGAAAACTTCGAGTTTTACGAGCTGGCTAAGCTCCTGCCGCTGCCCGGTGCCATCACCAGCCAGCTGGACAAGGCCTCCATCGTCCGGCTCACCATCACCTACCTGAAGATGCGCACCTTCGCCCTCCAGGGCGACCCTCCCTGGACCCTGCGGGCAGAGGGCCCGGCCCCAGGGGGCAACGGTGGGTGCAGGGGACTCATGCGGGGAGGGGGGGGGCGGGGATGGCGGGGGGAGGGGCACTGACCACGGGGGGGGGGGGGGGGGGGCTTGGAGGTGACCAACCTGGGCTGCAGAGCTTCAGGTGGGCAGGTGGGTGGGAAAACCCGAATTTTATTGCAAGGAAAAAACGAAAAAAGAGAGAGAGAGAGAGAGAGACAGGTTGGGGAATGCACCAGGCTACAATTTGGGAGGTCCCGAGTTCTAATCGTGCTTCGGGCATGAACCCGGCTGGCCTGTTTGTGAGCCAGCCACTCTTTCTCAGCCCTAGGGAGGGGCCAATGGCAAAATGACAGGGAGTCCCTCAACCCAGGACCCCCACCACCACCCCCCGGTTGAGCCCAAAACTTCCATTGCTAAGCGAGGCATTCATTCTGGGACGCGTGGCCCATTTTACGACCATTCCTTGACGCCATTGGTAAGTGCATCGCGGCCATCCTTAAGTTAGCAGCACGGTCGTTAAGCGGATCCGGCTTCCCCGTTGACTTTGATGATCGGAAGATCGCAAAAAAGGGGATGACATGCCCCCCCATCAGGGACATTGCTACTGTCGTAAATCCGAGTCAGTCATCCATCATCTGAATTTGAATCTTGTGACCAAGTCGTGTTGCAACGGTCATAAGTGTGGGACATGGTCCTAGATGCTTTTTTTTTTCCCCCAGCACCCTTGTAACTTCAAACGGTCGCTCACCGAATGAGAGTTGCCCGCAGGGAAGACATGTTGGGTCGTTCCCCCCACCCCCAGAGACCATCTAGTCCAGCCCGCTTGCCCAGCCCCCGGGGCCAATGGAAGGCTCCATTCCAGCACACGGGCAGCCCGCTTGGCTCACCGCCCCAGACCCGCCTGCCCGCAGCCCCCTTACCCAGGCAAAATGGCATTGATTAGCCAGGCAATAAATCGCCATTTAAATAACGCGGCTTCAAAGTCTGTCATTAAATAAATTAACTGCCTGGGAAGAATACGGCTTGCGGATTTTCTGATTACTATCATTAGCTGTGGGGTAATTACCAGCCCCATAACGAGGGTGCTGAGCATTAGGGATAACATCTGTCTATTGTTTTGGGGGGAGGTGGGGGGGGTGGGGGCCACCCTTCACACCCCCTCCTCTCCCGCAGCAGCGGATTCCAGCACTAAGGAGGGGGCTGGCGGAGGGGGGGAGACCGGGAAGGGGGCCCGTTTGGTTCCTCTTTGACTCTCTCCTTCCTCCCCAGCTCACGGGGGTGTGTGTGGGGGTGGGGGTGTCTTGGGTGGGGGGTACCCCAAATTTGCAGGGAACTCCCCTTGCTCGTGGTTGCCTTTGCCAAATGGAGGCCGCAAATAACTTTTTAAAAATCGGGGAACGGGGGTGGGGGTGGCTGAGGTTCTCTGCCCTTGGACATCTGGGGGTCCCAGTTTTTTTAAAAAAATAAAAAGTTTGGGGTCCAAAATGGCTCAGGTGTTTTGCCCCTCCCTCCCCGTCTTTTGGTTGGGGGAGGAGGAGGATGCCTGGAGCTTCAGGAGTTTGTGCTTGGCAATGAGGACTAGAAACTTGCCTGGGGAGAAAAAGGCTTGTTGGAAGGGTTGAGGAGTGGAAAGGAAAGGAAATGTGCCAGGCAGGAGGACTCTGTGAGGTGGTGGGCCTGAGTATTTTCAAGATGTATTTTGGGAGGGGGGCAGGGGCTGGTTAGCCACCATCATGCCAGAATTCTGAGAACGTTTGTAATATTTAAGGATAATATTCTAGCTCCATCAGCACATTCCTTCCTTCCTTCCTTCCTTCCTTCCTTCCTTCCTTCCTTCCTTCCTTCCTTCCTTCCTTCCTTCCTTTCATCTCTTTTCCTTTTTTGCTTCCCTCCTTTCCCTTTCCTTCCTTCCCTTTTTTCTTTTCCTTCCTTCCTTTCTTTTTCCTTCCTTGCTTCCTTTCATTCATTCTTTCTTTTTCTTCCTTCCTTCCTTCCATCTTTTTTCTTTTTTTGCCTCCTTCCCTTCCCTTTCCTTCCATCCCATCCTTTTTTTCTTTTCCTCCCTCCTACCATCTCTCTCCTTCTTCCTTCCTTCCCTTTTTTCTTCTCCTTCCTTCCTTCCTTCCTTCCTTCCTTCCTTCCTTCCTTCCTTCCTTCCTTGTCCTTCCTTTCTTTGTTCTTCCTTCTTTTCATTCATTCTTTCTTTTTTCTTCCTTTTTTACTTCTTTCCATCTTTTCCTTTTTTGCTTCCTTCCTTTTCCTTCCATCCCTTTTTTCTTTTCCTCCCCTTTTCTCTCTCCTTCCTTCCTTCCTTCCTTCCTTCCTTCCTTCCTTCCTTCCTTCCTTCCTTCCTTCCCTCCTTTCCTTTCCTTTCCTTTCCTTTCCTTTCCTTTCCTTTCCTTTCCCTTCCTTCCTTCCTTCCTTCCTTCCTTCCTTCCTTCCCTGGAACCAAAGAGACATCATTTTATACCTTGCATAACTGCAGTTCCTTAACACAACACACACACACACACACACACAGACTGCAGAGAGACACCCCCCCCTTACCCTCTCTGTCTGGAGTGGGAGCAAGACCCTAATCAATTGCATTAGCACAATTAGCAGCAGGTTTTGTTTTGGGGGCTTTCAGACTCTCTTCCTGGGACTTGGTGGTGGTGGTGGGAAACCCTGATCAAAGTCCTGCTGATTGATCAGTCGCTGCCGTTACAAAACCTCTGGAGGGAAACCAATTGTTCAAATTGCCCCTAATTTGACAAGAAAAATGGTGCCCGTTTTTTTTTTCCTTCCTTTTTTTAATTTCACTTTTCCCAGAGTCACTTCATGAATGTGGGGAAGTTGAAAAGCAAATATTTAGGAAATGGGGCTTGTGGCTGAAATGGACGTGTTAGGGGACCTGCTGAAGCGCCACACAGCAGAGGCATTGGCCAGGGCGGTCAAAAAAGTCAAGATGGCGTCCGCGCCCCCCCACAACAAAGCCACGCCCCCTTCCTTTTAAAAAAAAAAATCCCACAAATACAAACTCCAAAGAGCTCATAGCCTAAAATTTGACCAACTGTCGTAAATACATGTCAAAAATAATAAAGGCAGGCGATGAATAAATAAAACAAGGCACGTAATGAAATAAATATATGTAAATATAAATCCAGCCAGCAGCGTGAAACCTGGAACAAAACGGGGTTTGGTTTTGTCCTGGTTTGGCAAAGGGGTTGGTGAAAAACAGGCTGGTTTCCACGCTCCGTGGCATCGCTGGCCTGGCCATGCCAAGGTGGGAGCCTGCCTTGCCATACTGTGCCACGCCTTCCTCTTCCTCCTCCCCTTCTTCTCCCTCACCCCACAAGGCCCACTCCCACCTAGCACTGATGGCGTTGCCTAGTTGGGTCATGAAACGTCTGCGAGGAAATCACCAAGATTAGAGAGCACCAAGGGCCACACAGTCCTTCTCCTCCTCTTCCTCCTCTCCATAAACCCAACTCTCTTCCAGCACTGATGACGTTACCTAGTTTGGTAATGAAAGGTCGGCAAGAAAACATCCAAGTTCAGAGAGTACCAAGGACCCCACTGTCCCCCCACCCACCTCCTCCTCTTCTCCACAAATCTCCCTCCCACCCATCACTGATGATGTTACCTAGTTGGGTCATGAAACATCTACAAGGAAACAACCAAGCTGAAATGGTATACTTGAGCAGGGGGGTGGACTAGAAGACCTCCAAGGTCCCTTCCAGCTCTATTCTATTCTAATACTAAAGCTCAGAGACCACCAAGGAACCCACAGTCCTCCTCCTCTCCACAACCCCCCTTCCCTCCTAGCACTGATGATGTTCCCTAGTTGGGTCATGAAATGTCTGCAAGAAAAACCACAGAGAGCCTAAAGAAACCATAGATAGCATAACTATAGATAGATCCTGGAAACTGCTAGGGAGGGGCCATTGAACTCCCTCTCTAGCCTCGTTTCAAGCTCCGCTGCTCCTTTGCCCTCTGGGAAAACAGCCCCTCCCTCTTTTGGAATCCAGACTCCATTCCACCACAGTTCCCTTCAGGAGGGTCGCCAGGTTTAGGGCAAATGTAACCCGCAACGTCTGAGTAGCCGGCAGAGGCCCCCATACATGGGGGGGGGGGATATTGTCTCTGGGAGAGATGCTCCCCTTATCCTGCTCCCCTTCTCAGTCCCTTTTCCCCGTCTCCTGCTCGAGCAGCAGCGGGCTGGACTAGGAGACCTCCCAAGGTCCCTTCCAATTCTGTGATTCCTGCAAACTCCGCCAGCCAACCCCTCCGAGGGAGACGGGCAAGCTCTTTGGCCTCTCAGCTGCAGCTAATTCCGTCATGGCCCGGCCGGGAAGGATGGGCTGCAGCTGTGAACCCATCATCCCCAGTGAGGCTGGTAGCTTTATTCTCCCACATAATTACGCCTTCGGGGAAAGAATTCGGTAATTAGGCCGAGCTGGTCGCAGACCATCTAAGCAACATTGTGACGGTCACCCTCACTCGGAGCCCACAAATCTTCCTTTCTTTTTAATAAGTTTTTCTTGTGTTTTCCACCAACCCAACTTAAATCATATTCATATTTTCAACAGCGTTTCGACAACTGCAGGCATGGGTTATCTTATAGTTCCTAATACATTTAATATACATTCACCAATAACTGTTACCTTAATCTATAATTAGTTCTATCTTATGTACTTACATATTTTACATATCTACAAGTCATTTTCTTAAGGTCTCTTATAGTTAATCTCCTCTTCTTATTCCTTATGTCCATCTTCTACCCATTCATACCATTTGTGCCAGATTAAATAATACTCAGAATCCTCCTCCTCTCTCATTTTTAATGTGAGTGTGTCCATTTCTCGCATGGTCCATTATTTTTTGTTGGACTAGATCCACATTAGGGGTGTTGGGGCAGAGCCCACCACTCTTAAAGCGGCCAAGTTTGGAGACATTCCCCCCCACCGGGTTAAAACGAAGCCCACCCACTCTCAGGGGAGCTTCCTTGGGCCCCTTTTGTGTCTTGTCGGATAAAAGGTGCGTTTTATTGACGGACGGATTCATTGGTTTTGCACACCAATCATAACCGGGGGGGTTGGGGGGTTGGGGTTGACCCCCACCATGTTCCACATATCCCAATGACGTCATGCAGATCTGCAACCTTTGCAAGGTGACGTCATCGGGCAGGATTGACATGCCAGTGGATTCTTCCCACTGTTTTCCTGGGCTTCTTTGGTTGGAAATAAAAAAATATATAATAGGTAAGGAAAAGAAACCAGATCTTTTCCAAGTTAATTTTCCCCCTCTCTCTCCTTTCTTTCCTTCCTCCCTTCCCTTCCTTTCTTCCTTCTTTTTCTCTTTTTCTTTCTTCCTCTCTTCCCTTTTCTTCCTTCCTTCCCTTTTTCCTTCCTTCCTTCTTTTTCTTTTTTCTTTCCGCTCTTCCCTTTTCCTTTCTTTCCTTCCTTCCTTCCTTCCTTCCTTCCTTCCTTCCTTCCTTCCTTCCTTCCTTCCTTCCTTCCTTCCTTCCTTCCTTCTCTTTTCTTTATTTACTTTCTTCCTCTCTTCCTTCTTTTTCTTTTTTCTTTCCTCTCTTCCCTTTTCCTTTCTTTTCCTTCCTTCCTTCCTTCTTTCCTTCCCCCCCTCTCTCTTTTTCTTTCTTTTTTTTGGGGGGGAGGGGGAAAATGCTGTTTTAGGGCTTTGAAAAGTTGGCAAGTTGCAAACCTGAAAAGATTGGAGGGGGGGCTAACAATACAGCCCCCCCCCCAGCTTCTGTCCCCTTCCCTTCCCCGTCATGTGAACAGCTTTCTAATTCTTGCATTAAATGCTTTTAATTATAGGAGCATTCTGTCTGACCTGTGGGGTTATTTCGAGAGAGGAAAAATGAAGGAATTAAAGAAAATGACAGAGGAAATTGCAGCAATTAGCGGAGCTGGTATTGTTCCTGATTGTCTGTCAAGTCGGTCTCTTGTTTGTTAGTTACAAGTAAATTCGCGCAGATAACCGAGGCAGCCGTTCTGAGCGGCATTTCTGAAGCTGCTGCACCGATTTAGAAAGACAGAAAGGGAGAGAGAGAGAGAAAGAGGAGAAGAAGAAGAAGAAGAAGAAGAAGAAGAAAGGGGGAAAATATGGTTTTTATTTTTTATTGCTTTTCTCCTTGGGAAATCGGTTTCCCCCAAATGATTGGGGTTCTTTGTAGCCCCATATCCAATCGATGCCTAAAGCGAACAAGCCAAGCGTTACCTATAGGTAGTTCTCGACTTACAACCCCTGGTTCAGCCCAAAATTTCCGCTGCTAAGCGAGACCGTTGGGAAGCGAGTTTGGGGAAACTTTGGGGGAAATGAACCCTAGGTTATGCCCCTTTCTGGTCACTGTTGTTAAGTGAACAGCTGCAGTTTGTTAAGGGCACCTGTAACTTCTGGAGGCCAGGTGTGCCACTGACGAATTTGCTCTCACACTTAAAGAAATTTTCTCCTCCTTCGTTCCGGGTTGCTTCTCTTCTCAATTCGTTTCGGGTGGACACACACACACACACACACACACACACAACCACATCAAAACAAATGATTAAATCAACAAAATGAACAGAGAAAGAAAGAAGCCAAAGAGCCCACAAAGTCTCTGGAACTTCTGCACAGGCGGTTTGGGGTGTGTAGGAAAACCAGGAAGAACTCGGGAGGCCACCGTGGGTCACGAAATGCGGCCTGTTCGGCATTCCCCACACGTGTGTGTGTGTGTGTTTGGGGGGGGGGTCCTTTCCAGCCCACCTTCCTTCTTTCCCCCTTCTTGGTTCCCCAGCCAGTTGGGGGGGAGGAAGGGGGGCCGGTGGGGCTGGAGGAAAGGTTAACCTAGGGGCTGGCGAGCTTTTCAGCTTGTCCGGGGCGCTTGTGAATGCGGGACTTGATTCGTATTCTCCTCTCGTCAGGCAGGAATGTGCAGGACACAATGGCCCGTCCTGTCCTTTCCCTCCCCCTCCCTTCCTCCCCCCTCCTGCTCTCTCCTGGGCTTCCCCAAATTCAGTGCCTTCCTTCGCCTCTATCCTGCCCCCCCTTCTTCTCCACCCCCCCCTCCGTTAGGTGAGGGTCCTGGCCAGAGAGCCTCCTCTGCAGACGCCTGCCAAAAACCCCTGGCTTATTTGTTCCTTCTCTGGATATTCCTGGATCAGATTAACCCACATCTGTCT